TCCATCCATGTCCAGGATATAAACCTCGACATCCCATCAGCAGCACTCTTCAGCTCCTCTTGGGGGCTCCAAGGTGTTTCCAGGCCAGAGAAGGTACATAATCCCTCCAGCGAGTCCCTCTTCCCCTTCACAGAATCACCACCTTAACATGGCGGATGGTTTTGAGTGCAAGGTCTAAGTTTCTTTATTGTCACTTCACCACTTGCTCTTGCCGAGATCGGATGCTTCTCCCCTCCCTCTCCGCTTTGCTTTGCTGCTCTGTCTGTCTGTGAAACTGCTTGTGAGACTCTCTTGCATTTCTTCTGAACCATAATTATGGACTTGTTTGGATCAGTTGGTCCCTCAACTCAATTTACAACATTTCTTGAAGAGAAGACAGGCTTTAGGTGAGCCGATTTGCCCTGTTGGCACGCACGCAGCTGGATATCTCACCGACTGGAAGACTTGAGGATGTGTCTATCTCTGCTGCCATTTGTTGATTTTAAGGACACATATTTAATTGGATTTTCGATAACTGGTTCCTGCTTTTTTGGATTCGGCTGGTTGCTGGTTTTATCTACAATCAAGGAAGTCGTCGGCAGCAAATTTGGACCCGATCACGCTGCTTGCCTTTATGATGGCTTGGTCCGTGTCTCGAGTACCCAGACTCAAAAATGCTTTGGGCAGAATGGATCAGATCTTGGGGATTTTACTCAGTCACGTTCCATCGGTGTGGCCATGTATTTTGGACATTTCGGAACCGAGTGGACCAACACAGACTCAAGGTAGATGTCATTTAGTTCTGTCTGTCCCCAAAACAACTGTGTGTTTATTTGAATTTGGTTCCCTTGGATGGTCTTGAAGGCCATCTTATCTGAATTCACCTGGAGAACATGTGATCTGACGCTCACCACCCCCTCCCTGAGGAATTTCCAACTGATAACCAGATGGAACCAGCTGAATAAACTTTGTGTCATCATTTCAGGACTCTTGGATTCTCATAGACTTTATTCTTGGCCATTCCTCGACATCCCTCGAGCATGTTTATGGATTTCACCGGAGGACATTGACTGATTATCTTAGCAGAACTCGTACAGTGACCTCGAGAGCATCTATAAGCGTTGTTGACCGCTCTCGTCTCCGTTTGCAGAATGTCTACGTCACTATGTGCTGTTTGTGCGAGGTGTTTTTTTTTTTTTAATATTAGAGGGTTTTTTTTCTCAGGCAAGAAAAATGTCTGATAGGAATTTTTTTCGCCTCCAACTCCTACATGTGTCCAGTTAACCGCCGTTTTTGTCTGTCCAAACAGGTCTCACTTGTAAATGAGTCTTTGAGGCTCAATGTGATTTATCCGTTTAAATAAAGGTTGAATGAATGAACATGAAGTAGAACAAATTTGTGTATCCAAGGTCCCAGTTACACCCAAAATAGCAAAAAATTGTATAAAAGGAAACCCCTGTGATCCTGGGGTTTATATAGTCTGGCGCATCATCCCCTGGTAGGGTCTCCCATGGCAAACAGGCCTCAGGGGAGAGGTCAGACCAAGAGCGATTCCAGAACATTGATAGATCAACATAAGTTGCATCAGAGAACACATGAGCAGCAAAAACCGTGACGCCCCCACTGGAGGCAGGCCTGGTCCACGTGGGCCCAGCACCTGCGAGGAGGACCGTCAAGGTCGAGTGCCATGTAAGCCGGGCGGCAGGTGAGGAAGGGTTCCTGACCCTGCCGATTCCTGGAGATATAAACGGTTCCTTTTATACCTGTGGTCACAAAGAACTAAGTTCAGCTTCATCTTATTTGTGCATTTGAGATCAGACATGCTGAGACTTAACATATGCTTTTAAAGCAGCGTTTGAACGTCAGCTGTTCATTTGTAAAGGGGCCTCCGGTAAAAACAGAGTTCATGCACAGTTCACCAATTGACCACTGAACCCACAGACTGAACTGTTCACTTCAGATACTCAAAGTAAATTAATTTTAATGTCTATACTCATTGTCTTTATTGCATTGAGGAATAACTTTTTTCAGTTTTTAACTTTAAAAATTGAAGTGAGTAAAAAACTGTGATTGAGACAAATGTTTTTTTTTTTTTTTTTGGTTTGTGACGACAAACTTAACGTCTGGAAGAGTCAACAAACAGCAGATTGCCTCACGTTGGGGAATAAAAGCAGCAAATAATCACTTATTTGTGTAAATCTCTGTCAAAGACTCAAACGTTAACAAAAATGTAACGGTTTATTGCTAATATCTGGCCTGTTGAATGTGTCACAAAGTTTCAGGAAGTCTGACTAAAACTTGGTTCCAGGAGCCAAAACAAAAAACCCCACCATCAAGTCTGTTGACAGCATTAAGATCAAACCCAGTTTCTTCCATTGTATTTGAGCAAAGCAGAGCCACATATGCAGAGGTGCATCCTGGGTAATTTTAGAGACGCATGCCATCATCAAACCAACATCTTATAATTGAAAAAGCACCAGATGATTCAGCACCAGAGGATGCAGCACCAGAGGATGCAGCACCAGAGGATGCAGGACCAGAGGATGCAGGACCAGAGGATGCAGCACCAGAGGATGCAGGACCAGAGGATGCAGCACCAGAGGATGCAGGACCAGAGGATGCAGGACCAGAGGATGCAGGACCAGATGATTCAGCACCAGATGATTCAGCACCAGAGGATGCAGGACCAGAGGATGCAGGACCAGAGGATGCAGCACCAGAGGATGCAGCACCAGAGGATGCAGGACCAGAGGATGCAGGACCAGAGGATGCAGGACCAGAGGATGCAGGACCAGAGGATGCAGGACCAGAGGATGCAGCACCAGAGGATGCAGCACCAGAGGATGCAGGACCAGAGGATGCAGGACCAGAGGATGCAGCACCAGAGGATGCAGGACCAGAGGATGCAGCACCAGAGGATGCAGCACCAAAGAGTATTCTATAGTAAAACTTGATATTTTTTGTACAATTTAAAAAAACAAAAAAGAACAAAGAGTTTAACCTAATTTTGATCCACGGTGGCAAAAGGAGCCACAATAAGTTCTTTAAACATCGAGTTCTCATTGTTTTCAACTTCACCATCAGCAGTCTGTTGAAATTTGATGACTTGTCACCTGGCCTGGCAACAAGCTGGTTCTGTTGGAGAGTACTGGGAGTACTGGTATGAAAACTTGATTTTTATAGATCCGGAAAGATTTCAAGATTTCCAGCCCCAAATTAAACGAGTTAGAGTTTTGCGTACAGCAAACATACCCCTCAACAAACTATTAAAAAGATCTACAGCAAATGGTGCGGACACGCAAAGACCTCATATAACCTTTGACCTTGACCTCTGATCGTACGTGGCACTCCACCTAGTGATGATGCATGTTCATGAAGTTTTGTTAAATCATCTGGAGCAGATCAGAAGACACGGGCGGGACAACAGATTACGGCTGGACAGAGACTACACCATACAATGCCGCCAAACTTTATATGAAGGGATTTCCCAGCCAAGGTGTATTGCGACACATTTTACTGGCACAGGTCACAAATTATTTAAGTATAATTTTAGTTTTACGTGTTTATTTGAAATGCATACTTTTTGTAAATTATATTCATCTATGGCTATTTTTAAATGTACTCTACAGAATCATAAATTTTATTTTCTTACGAATCAGCCGTTATAAGATATTTAGACTTTATTCAGCACAATTTCTTTATTTCGTAACAAAACAAACGACCACACTAAACAAACTGAACAATACATTACAATAAAGAAACTCTCTTGGGTCCATATCAGCACAGTGTTTTATAAAAATATGTTTAGCACGCTCACTCATGAGGGTTTCCCCCTCACTGGGCATAATAAAAATAACAACTGGTTTTCAAAGACAGGATCTCCAGCATGTTGGGAGAAAATGTGTTGTTGGGAAGCAGCAGGCACTTGAGTGAAACAGACTTTTTATAAAAATTAACTCAAAACAATTGTAGTGGCTCAAACTAAACTCTTTTTAAATCCTCAGATGAGCTCAGCGGATAATTTGATGAATTTTAATTTGCATCTTCACACACCGCAAGTTTGCACTCGCCTGCAGGTTGTTAGAAACTGAGTAAAAGTGAAACAAATAAAAAGCTTAATTTATTTAACAGTTTGAATCTGCCTAAACAACAAAAACAGCAGATTATATCGGGCGTTCTGCACAGATGGGGTTCTGTCTGCGTGCTTCTTAAACTCATCATCTCCGTTCAGAAACCGTGTTTTGTAATTCCATCTCCGTTTGCTCGAGAAACATCGCTGCTAGGTCTAATAAACAAACCATAATGACAAAAATGGTGTCATATTGTTATAGCTACGTTTTAGCTCTTATAGAAACTGGAACAACAAAAAAGGTTCTTCTTAAAAATAATTTTTAAATGTTTTATTTCTGGAAATCAACTCACAAACCTGATGTTCCACGATTCACTGTGAGGTCTCGACCTATTTCAGTAAAAAAACCTGCTGAATAAAACTGTCATTTATTAATTATCAACCCTCAAAACCCAGAGCGTGGACAGAAAACTTCTGTTTTCCAGTTGTTAGTATAGTGAGTAAAATGTTCCTTCATGTGGACCCCCTGCAGGTTCTGCAACTATCAGACGCTGGAACAGATCGATATTTTAAAGGTGGTTTATGTAAAGCAACTAAAAGCAGCACAATGATCTAATAACAAATTGCAATCTAAAAGTATAATTTTGCACTTAATTGTATATTTCCGGCGTATGTGTCCTCATTCATCGCTCAGTTCAAATGCTGGCACTGATACTTCTGTAATAAGCTCATCTTAGCCACCATCAGCCGCACCTTTGCTGCTTCAGAGCTGGAATACTGACCTCAGCTCTGGTTTAGGTTGAAGTTAAGCTGAATTGCTGGTATGTGGGTTCAGGATGACTTTTCTTCTTATCAGCAAACAGAAATGACTCAGCCTGAGCGCTCCGTGAGATGATGAGACCCCCTCAGAAACGATAACGTACGTCCCCGAGTGACGCCTCATTGAACTGCACTATGACTGCATGAGAAGATGCAGCTTCTGCCGGATGATTTCAGAGTTCATGCTCCACAGGAACTCTGTCAGCCCAGCGGTGAGCAGCTCCTCCATGGGAACAAACTGCAGCACCTGCTGCTCCCCTCCACACGGCTGAGTTTTACCTGCGTCCTCGTCTCCCCCCAACAGCCCACGCATGCAGCTCTGCACGTCAATCAGCACCGGGAGCATCTGCGCGGCAGCTTCAGGGCAGAAGCCAGCGCAGACGAGCACCGTCCCAACCGCACGAGTGGGGGGCGGACACCTGTACGACACGGAGCAGAAACACACGTGCAGGCAGAGGACGATGGCTGCGGTGACCCGGGTGAGAGCGGAGAACACGGGCAGCAGCAGGACGTCTCCAGAGCTCAGCGACTGCAGGGAAAATATGAGTGAGGCTAAAAGCTGCTGCTGGTACAGCGGCTCCCCGTCATGCAGCAAGTTACAGCCTCCCCGAGGAAACGGAGGCTCTGCACAGAACGTCACAGTTACATCCTCTGCTTGGTTCTCACGGGGATCCCACGATGTGCCGCTGCCAAACACCAAACACCGTCTCTTCTTTTTGTTCCCCGCGGCGCTGGCTCTGAGCACGCAAACACCTGCAGCTTGACACAAAATGGAGGCTGGGGAAGCTGGACGGCAAGAGTCACAGGAGGACACGAAGGTCCAGTCCACAGCTGTGTCCACCAAGGCTTCGTTCAGGTGGTTCAACAGCCCTCCTTCACAGAATGGAGAGTTTCTGACTGCAGGCAGTGCTGCTCCAGAAACAACGTACCACGACTCTATGTGGCAGGTGGACAGAGGTCCCTCCAGCACGCAGCCCGTCCCACTGTCCTCCGTGCAGTGTCTCTGTATCCAGGGGCCGTGGCAGCTCCTCTCAATTCTCTGCCTCCAGCTCAGGGTTTGAAACTCCCTCCGCTCGTTGAACGAACCAATTTGCTTCTTCTGTCCCAGCGGCCGACCAGAGGACACGCTGCAGCAGGCCGGACTCACAGAGTGACGAGAAATCCATCGACTTCGTGGAAGAAAGCTCACCTGCACAGAGAAACAACCATAGATCCTCTGACCTTTAGACGGCCAAGACAAAACCAGAGCCCACTAATCAGAGCACCTGGAGAACAGAAAAGTGTCAAGTTATTTTTTAGCTGCGCAGTAAATCAAGACACGTCCAGTCAAATAATTAGTTTGTAGCCTACATATATAATTTTATTCATATTTGTAATAATCAAACACAGACCTGTCACGATAAACAATAAATCAATTAATCGCACGATAAATGAAAATTATCAACCTAATTTTCATTTAATGGCTTTGCTGTTTCTCTGTCTCTCTCTTTCTACTGAAGACACTGGATGACAAAAACCTAAACCCCACTGACCCCTCCCTTTCTTTATTCTCTTTAAAACCCGTTTTAACCATGCAAAATTGCATTTTTGGATCGTTAAAAGCAGCTAAGCTGAAAAGCGAAGCTACGAGCTAAGCTAACGGGTCGACCTCGGGAAAAATCCTCTGTCTTGTTGAAGCTCCAAAACACACAGTTGAAACCCGTGCCTTCGCCTAAAAGTTGTTTCTCTCTGCAGCTGAGAACTTGTTTACGGACTTTAAAAAAAAAAAAAAAAAGCTTTGTGTGACAAATGCTATGCTAAAGAGCTCAAACCACACCGAGCATCGGCCATTTTGATAACCGAAAAACAGGAAGAGAGAGAGCCCATGTCACGTCAAGGGGCCTCCTTCCCATTTTTCTTAAAGAGACACGCTGTTCGCTCCCTCACTATCCATCCTTCGGTTCAAACAGTCTTATACTGCCATCCAGTGGTCAAAAAAAGGTACTACACAAAAATTAACCAACATTTCTTCTTAAATTTGACAATAATTTCTAATTATTGTCAAATTTGAAACAATATTATCATTTATCGCAATATTTTTTTAGACAATAAACACGCAGTGAAAACAGCCCACCTGGAATCTGTGCAGGTATTCTTGAGCCACGCAGTCCCTGACGTGCTCAAGCCGCTGCCTCTGCTCCGTGGTCATCCCTCCAAACAGACGCAGGTTTTCTGTGATGGTCCCCACCTGTAGACTGTGGAAGTACGAGCACACCTCTTCATGCTGCTTCAGGAACGACTCCGGGATGAGAGAGCTGGGGAGAAGAGCCTCTCGGTCAGCCAGCTGAGGTCCGTAACTCCGGATCAGCTTTGACAGCAGAGGCCTCACAGCCTCTTTGCCGTCGTAGTTCAAGCACACGACGTAAACCTCGGAGTTTCCCGCTTTGCTGGTGGCAGGTTTGAAAACGCTGACGGAGTGGAAACAGCAGTTGAGCAGGAAGAGCAAGCAGACGGAGGAGTGTTCATACAGGGTGAACATTTTGAGTACAAAGGAACCACCGGGGCTCAGGAGCAGCAGCGCAGCGACGGCCTCGCAGTAATGAAGCGACGCCACCAGCGCCTCCTGCTCGTCTGGGTTCTCCTGACAGTCAAAACTCCCATCTGCCGTCACCAAATCAACTCGACGCATGTTCGACACGAACACCTGCATGTCTAGCAGGTGTTTCTGGATCATGATGTTCCCCGTGTTGTCTGATCCAAAGAACCACCAGGGCAGCGTGTTGGCGATCAACCGATCATCCACGATGGTCGTGCTCCCTCCGTTAGCCTCGTGGTAAGGATTCAGCGTGTTGGCGACCCAGCTCCAGTCACAGTATCGCGTGGACTCGTTAGTTTTCACGTACTGGTTCAGCGCGGTTATAAACGCACCCGGAGCTTCGCACAGGTGGACCGAGTTCAGCTCACAGTTCTGAAGAGCCTCTTCTGGGATCAGCTTGAAGGTTCCCAGGATCTCGTAGAACTTGCACCAGGCCTGCGTGCAGATCTCTGCGTTGGCAGCCGAGCGAACGGCAGCGATCACCTTCCCGGCCCGGTTGGTGAAGTTGGTGTGTTGATGCCACACTTGTATGTTCTTGTCACTGAGCTGGTTCTTCACTGCGTTCAGAGATGCCTTCAGCTCTTGCAGATGCCGGTGCTCCTCTGCCGGGTGTCTGAGAGCAACGTTTGGGTCGGGGATGTTCCACTCACCACTGGGTGGTCTCACGTAGGCTTTAACTTTGCTAAAAATACCTCGTACCTCTGCTTGGGTTTCAGGGTCAGAGGCCACCAGCATGCTGCTGAGGTGCTGCTGCTGGACGTTCCTCCTGGTGCCATTACCTGAGCTCATCCTCCACACCTGCTGAGGAACACAGAGCAGTGAACGTATAATCACTAAAATAAAAACATAGATCACTTATTGTTTTCAGATTCTCCAATAAAAAAGTTTTAATGAGACATGATTACTGGTGGAAAACACCGACAGGTGCACTCGTGATATTGACCATTAAGGTGCTCTGCACTTGTTTGATGAGCTCAGATGATACCGATGAACTTATGAGGTACTGATGAAGTACTCGTCAGGTACTTGTGACACTCATGAGACATTGTTTTAACTGATTGCATCTATATTTGTATTGTGTTTACAGCAAATTATCACTGATTTAATTAGAATTTTTATGCTTTTAGCATGGCAGCACGGTGGCACAGTTGGTAGAGCTGCTGCCTCTCAGCGAATGGGATACCCTGGTTCAAATCCCGTCTGGGGGCCTTTCTGGGCGGACTTTGCAAGTTCTCTCTGTGCATGCGTGCGTTTTCTCCAGATACTCCGGTTTCCTCCCACAGACCAAAAACATGCATGTTAGGCTGATTAGTAAGGTTAAACTGTCCCTAGGTGAGTGAGAGAGTGAATGGTTGTTTGTCTCATTTGTCTCTATGTGTCCCTGTGATGGACTGGAGACCTGTCCAGGGCGTCCCCCGCTTCTCGCACAGTGATGGCAGGATATAGGCACCAGTGATCCCCACGACCCGAAAAGGAAGAAGCGGGTAAAGATAATAGATGGATGGTTTTAGCACCATTTCTACATCATTAAATTGTTTTTTGAGGGTTAGTTAAACTCAGACTCATAAAGGTTTTTGAAAAACTGTATTAAAAACAGCAAATAGTATTACTTGCCTTTGTTTTTTTTTTGTCAACAAAAACAAAATTCTTCTGATTTCACCCATTTATCACATGTAGGGAGTCTTTTGGTAGTGAATGATGCGTATTTTGTGGTTATTTTATCAGACAGATTTATACAAAAGATTAAAATTGTCAAAAAAACATTGGAAAAATTGCATGTTTTGACAGTTTTTAAGGCTTTAAATACTGACCTCTTCCTCTGTTCGGGGGCTCCTCTCTCATAACTCTTAAGATTCTGTGCATAATTCTGAATAAAGAAACACCGACTTCCTGATCCTCATTTTTAAGTGTGGAGATTCTTTTATCCCACATTAACACTTGACAGTCACATACTGTCGCATGCAAAGAATCAGGAAAATGCACAGTCCAGTCCAGCCATGCAACTTTTAATTAACTGTGTCGTGAAGAAGTGTCAGACCAAGAATTCTTTATATGAATGCTTGCCAACTTGTTATTAAAATTAGACGTATTTGTTGTCAATCACACAAAACGGCGCCGGTACATAAACATTGTTGAGGCCTTCCTGTGGTGAGCTTCTGCTTGGCTGCAGAAAACACCATCTTACTGCATCAAACTGATTGTTTTAGTTCAGATAATTACACAAACTGCTGCAGCTAATTCTCTGCCTGTGTGCACACAGATGACAACGTGGGCAGATGGGGGCATTTCTGGGTCATGTCTTGATTAGTCTGCAGCGACTCAGTGATAAATAGCAATCCACTAAGTGGCATTCAGCAAACGACAGCTAAATTCACGAGTAATTAGAGATGGATCAGACTGATGAGCACGGATCTGTATGAAAGTCAACTGCTCGCATCAGTACTAGAAAAAGCTGACAGAAACATCCATCCATTCGTTATCTTTTACCCGCTTCTTCCTTTCCGGGTCGCGGGGGTCACTGGTGCACATATTCAGCAATCACTGTGCGAGAGGTGGGGGACACCTGGACAGGTCTCCAGTCCATCACAGGGACACGTAGAGACAAACGAGACAAACAACTATTCACTCTCTGTCTCACACCTAGGGACCTAGAGTTACCAATCAGCCTAACTTGCATGGTTTTGGTCTGTGGGAGGAAACCCACGCATGCACGGAGAGAACATGCAAACTCCACCCAGAAAGACACCCGACTGGGATTTGAACCGAGGCGACCTGCTCGCTAAGAGGTGGCAGCTCTACTAACTGTGCCACCGTGCCGCCTGACAGAAACAGTGAAGTAGAACGGGTCACCAGACACACGTAAGGAAACCCGACTCCAAAACGTCTTAGTAAAACCCATTTGATATGAAGGGAAAATCCAAGTCTCATGTTTCAAAACTGATGTGTAAGTTATTCCTGCTATTGACTAATGAGTAGCTTTGGTACAGTGAAACAAGCAAAAACAAGAGAAACTTATAAAAAAGATTATTGCAAATTTAAAAAAACACGTCATATATATGTGAAATATTTAGTTAAATATACGTTAACCATTATTCTGCTGGGGGACTTCAATGCCCACGTGGGTAATGACAGTGTGACCTGGAGGGGCGTGATTGGGAGGAACCGCCTCTCTGATCTGAACTCGAGCGGTGTTCTGTTGTTGGACTTCTGTGCTAGTCATAGTTTGTCCATCACGAACACAATGTTCGAACATAAGGGTGTCCATAAGTGCACTTGGCACCAGGACGCCCTAGGTCGTAGATTGATGACTGACTTCATAGTCGTGTCATCTGATTTGCGGCCATTTGTTTTGGACACACGGGTGAAGAGGGGAGCTGAGCTGACAACTGATCACCACCTGGTAGTGAGTTGGATCAGATGGCGGGGGAAGATGCAGGACAGACTCGGTAGACCCAAATGTGTAGTGAGGGTTTGCTGGGAACGCCTGGCAGAAGAACCCGTCAGAGAGATCTTCAACTCGCACCTCCAGAAGAGTTTTAACCGTATTTCAGCTGAGGTGGGGGCCATGTTCCGCGCCTCGCTTGTAGCTGACTTGAGCTGTGGCCGCAAGGTTGTCCGTGCTTCTCGCGGTGGCCATCCATGAACTCGGTGACATACTTTTCGGACCTTCTCAATCCCACTAGCAAGTCTTTCATGGAGGAAGCTGAGTCGGGGAACTTTGGGGTTGATCCGTCCATAACTGTGGCTGAGGTTGCCGAGGTAGTTAAAAAGCTCAAAGGCGGCAGGGCTCTGGGAGTGGATGAGATTCACCCTGATTTCCTTAAGGCTCTGGATGTTGTGGGGCTGTCTTGGCTGACACGCCTTTGCAATGTCGCGTGGACATCGGGGGCAGTGCCACTGGACTGGCAGACTGGGGTGGTGGTTCCCCTCTTCAAAAAGGGGGACCGGAGGGTGTGCTCCAATTATAGGAGCACCACTCTCTTTAGCCTCCCTGGTAAGGTCTATTCAGGGGTACTGGAGAAGCGAGTCCGATCGTTGGTCGAACCTCAGATCCAGGAGGAACAATGCGGTTCTGTCCTGGCCGTGGAACACTGGATCGACTCGTTACTCTCACTAGGGTCCTTGAGAGGTCATGGGAGTTTGCCCATCCAGTCTACATGTGTTTTGTGGACTTGGAGAAGGCATCCGACTGTGTTCCTCGAGGTACACTGTGGGGGGTGCTCCGTGAGTATGGGATTGGAGGCCCGTTATTATGGGCTGCTCAGTCCCTATACAAGTGGCGCAAGAGTTTGGTTCGCATTGCCGGTAGTAAGTCGGACCCCTTCAGGGTGGGAGTTGGACTCTGCCCGGGCTGCCCGTTGTCAAGATTCTGTTCATAACTTTTATGGACAGAATTTCTCGGTGCAGCCAGCTGGCGGAGGGTTTCCGGTTCGGTGGCCTCAGGATTCCATCTCTGCTCTTTGCAGATGACGTGTTCCTGTTGGCGTCATCGTGCCGTGATCTTCAGCTCTCACTGGAGCGGTTTGCAGCCGAGTGTGAAGCGGATGGGATGAGAATCAGCACCTCCAAATATGAGGCCATGGACCTCAACCGGAAAAGGGTGGATTGCTCTCTTCAAGTCGAGTGTGAGGTTCTGCCTAAAGTGGAGGAGTTCAAGTATCTCAGGTTTTGTTCACGAGTGAAGGAAGAATGGAGTGTGAAATTGACAGACGGATTTGTGCAGCATCTAAAGTATTGCGGACTCTGTACCGATCCGTTATGGTGAAGAGAGAGCTGAGCTGTAAGGCAAAGCTCTCTGTTTACTGGTCGGTCTACGTTCCTGCCCTCACCTATGGTCATGAGCTCTGGGTAGTGACAGAGAGAATGAGATTGTAAATACTGGCGGTTGAAATGAGTTTTCTTCGCAGGGTAGCTGGAATCTCCTTTAGAGATAGGGTGAGAAGTTCAGTTATCCGGGAGAGACTCGGAGTAGAACCGCTACTCCTCCACGTCGAGAGGAGTCAGTTGAGGTGGTTTGGGTATCTGGTAAGGATGCCCCCTGGGCGCCTCCCTAGAGAGGTGCTTCGGGCATGTCCAACTGGGAGGAGACCCCGGGGAAGACCCAGGACACGCTGGAGAGACTATGTCTCTCAGTTGGCCTGGGAACAGCATGGAATCCTCCCAGAAGAGCTGGAAGAGGTGGCTGTGGAAAGAGATGTCTGGGCCTCCCTGCTCAAGCTGCTGCCCCCGTGACCCGACTTCGGAATAAGTGGAAGATGATGGATGGATGGATAGGTTAACCTTAAAGTCAGATACTGTGTTGGCCTTGTAATTGCAGCTAATGGAAATTATTAAACTATTATTTATTATTAACCTTTATTTATACAGGCAGTCTCATTTGGGTCACGAGGACTCATTTTCAAGAGAGACCTTTTTTAGACAGACAATATATAGAGTACCAACATGCACTAATAACATGCACTTTTTATTCATTATTGAGTACGATGTGAAATCATTGTATTAAACTAGCTCAAGATTTAACCTAAAAAAAATCGATCAAGAAATAATTTTTGTTTGGTGCAATCTTCAGTTCTCACACAAGACTTCTTATTTCTTGGAGTAACAATTAGCTTCAAAATCAAATATCATTTCAAATTGATTCTAGATTTAAAATTAAGTCAAAATTATTCCATTTTACTACACAAAGTCAATAACTTATGCATGTATATTTAGTTATAAAGTTACCAACTATTAAATAAAACGTTAAATTCTGAATCAATTAACGTTTTCAGTGTCATTTCTATCAAAGTTAGT